TTTAAATTATTCCTATTTTGAGTGGGTTGCTTTTGTCATTGAATCTTACAACTTAAGATTATTACATTTTTGGAGATTTTTACGAAGGCACTCTGGTAGAGGAATAACTTCAGACCATGTAATTGTGTTGTCCTCTGGTAGAGGAATAACTTCAGACCATGTAATTGTGTTGTCTGTCATTCTGATCAATTTATTGTGTGCTTTGCTATAGAATTTATCGCTCTTTTCTTCCATTTCCTACAGGCAGTGAGGAGTCCTGTACAAGTTTGCGCCATGCGTCAGGCGAGACTCCTTTTTGTCATTTGAACAGACTTTGTTAGTTGTTACTGAGATACATACAAATTAATCAAATTATCTCAACTTGTCATTCCTTCCTAACAGTTTTTTTCAGTCTCGATGGATTGGCAGAAAGTGTGTCCTCTTTTTTTTCCCATCAGTGTGGTCCAATAGCTATATAATCTGTAAATAATAAGTCGATTTTGTGTTGCATATACTCTCGATTCTTTCAATACTCTTTTTGGCAATTGTTCCTTGTAGATCTGCAGTTTAGATTATCGAATCTTTGTAGTTAAATTTTCCATTTGTTTTATAAATACAGTGCTTCATGTGTGTTTGAAGTCTACACGGGCGGCACCATCCTTTAGTGGTGGCTCGGCGTGGCTCAACTTTGGGGTAGCCCAGCATTCCCCATGCAAGCCAGGGGCATAGACTTTCAGGCTCGCTTCGTGGCCACTTTTATAGCTCTATTCCGCCATCTCTGACGAAATTGGCGTTTCATAGCAGTCTATTTAAGAATTCAGATTAAAACCAAGATGGATTATTGGATATTTATACCAATTAATTATACTTAATGGAGACTTTTCCCAATTGAATAATTTGATTGACTGAGATTGACGTTGAGTTTTTTGCAGCAGCCTTGTGATAGGTACAAATGAATTCTTCTGGGATTTATATCTGCATAAATCGTCAACAGATTTGTGTGGATATAATTCATATCTGCAGCTATTGTGAAGAACCCCACAAGCCATCAGAAA